AAATTGACTGCTATCTTGCATTTAAAATTTTATTTATTTATTAAAAAATACTTACTTCTTGTAAAAGTAATCACCTTAAGTTAGTAAATCTACTCGAGTTTTCTTTTTTCTTAATCTTTTTTTTTTTCTTAAACCAGTTTAAATTCCATAAAACAAATCAACTATCTTAGTAATTTCTCGATTACAACTTGAACGTTTTAACATGCTCACAGAATTTGTAGCTTAAAAGAAACATTCGAGATTTTTCACTTTTTTCCGATTCGAGATTCTTCTATTTACAAGTACAGATGCTACTCATATGGTGTAGTGGTTAGAAAAGCCTCTTGCGATATCGAAGGACCCGGGTTCGAATCTCAGAGAATGCATGGATGTTTGTAGATGTAGAGTGCTCGTGCGGCAGGGGACACTCTAAATATGCGGCGAGCCGAAAGGCGTCTCGAGAGGTTAGTGGTTGGGGAAGAATAGTGGAAGACCCTCATTTGCCACGATGAATTTCATGAGCTTGTTCTGATGTCACTGTCAGACAAGTGAGATAAGTCACAACACATAAACACAGAATAACAGGTATTGGTAAGTATTTCACGAGTGTATTTTGATTTTCAAGATGCAAATATACACTAAGTCTGGGTTTCTCAAACTTATAGTACATTACATTATTTTCGGTGATATAATTTTTATACAAAAGATTTAAATGAATGCTCAAAATGAATTAAAATGGCTTCCCTTTTGATACATATTTCGGTGCGTTATCGTACCTATATTTTTTTATTCTTATTATGTGGTACAAAATTTTAAAAAGTTTGAGAACCTCTGCACTAAATTTCCTATTTAGAAATAAATTATACTAATAGCAATAATGTCGAAGAATGAAAAATTAACTAGACTTGGCGCCATGTAAACAGTAACTAGGCATGTGTTTTCAGTGGTGCAGATATGAAATGAAAACATAATTTAAACACTTTCGGGTACTTTTCCGCCAACGATAAAGTCGCCAATAATGGTACAACTGATGCCAAACGGAATATTCTTCTCCGGTAACCTTTTACGCTTCATTTTCAAAATAAGTCGCAGCCATTTCTTATCAGATTGATTGTTTCTTTCAATACTGACATACAGTTACATAGAATGTTTACCAGATAGTTCAATTTTATACCCTAAGACCATTTGCGGTAATTAAGTCAATTAGGATGCAATCACACCGCTTAGCCGAAGGCGAAAGTATAGGGAAAGGCAAAATTAAGGTTTAAATTCATCCATTCTAATGAGAATGCACTATAGCGAAGTAAAGCACTGCGGTTTTACATAATTTATGAGTAAGCTATTCGTATGAATTGAAATAATTCTTGCATTTAAACTCGTATTTCAAATTAAGATTTAACTTGAAATTAATGTAGATAATTACTGAGAGAGTTATATTTTTGTAGCGTAGTTGACGTGAGATGAAATCACTTTGGGTCTCAGAACCGGCGAATCAGGGTGTTGAACCATGAAAGCATAGTAAATTCATAAATTAATGTCATTTTACAAAATTTTAAATCAGATTAATATGTTTATGCCTTTAAAATAAAAAAATTCTGAGAACTAAAATTTTTATGTGTATACTGTATGTCACCAACAAAGTCTGCTTGGCGAGATTTGCGCCTGCGAAACGGAAAAGTACCCACTTTCGTAATGTGTTAAGTCATTTAAAGCATGCCAGATTAAGTCAGATTAGGTTACACGACAATTAACCCGCTCTGGGAAAAGATACAATTAATGACTAAATACTGTTTTTCATAAAAAATAACCTTGCCGTTTATTGTAAATAGGAAATATTACTCTTTGTTATCATTTAAAAGTTTGATAGTGAAACCAGGGCTGTGGAGTCGGAGTCGGGCAGATTTTGGGGTAAACGGAGTCGGAGCTGGAGTCTCTAAAAACAGGTCGACTCCGACGCCAGTTTTCGTTGGACAATTTGAATTTGAAATGAAATTAAAATGAATTTAAAAAAATTAATGACAAGCTGAGTTATTATTTTTATTTATGAACTGTATACATTAATAAATAGTTATTTTCTATTTTATTGACCTATTAATAAATAAATATAAGGGAGGAAGATGGATGTGATATTTGCCATTAGTGATTAAACTGATTCATTCAGTTACAAATCTCACTGGTAAATTTAGGTAAGCAGCAACACCAGCACGAACTCCCAAAATTGATGCCATTCAAGCAATGCGATAAGGAAATACATATTTGATGATAAAGATCTTTTAGAACTTATAAAAGTCTCTCTTGAAAAGTTAAAAGAAGTAAGCCCTAACAGTAACAGCTCTTCCTCCTACTCAAGTTAGTGTGGAAAGACTCTTCTCAGCTTTTATCAAATCGGATCTATGGCCCTCCAACAAAGAAAATCTTGCCGAAGCTATACTGTTTCTTAGAAATAACTAATGCCAGTTTTTCCATTTCATAATAAATGCTAATTAATATAAATAATTTGCTATGCCATCAATTTTTTTCTGTAGCATCTATTACTTCTTTTATATTAAAAAAATAAGCTATAACCCATGTGTGTATGTTTACACACACACACACACACATATATATATATATATATATATACATATGAAGGAATCGGAGTCATTAAAATTCCAGGAGTCGGTCATTTTCCCTAGCGACTCCACAACTCTGAGTGAAACTGACATTTTGGATGTTAGCCTTAATGCTGTAAGAAATGAATATGAAATTCTTTGATTCTATATCACATACAATCTTTCAATTTTGTGCAGAAATTAAATGTTATAATAGTCCGCCTTAATTCTTATTTGATGGCTTCCGTCGTGTTAGAGCGTGGTTGTTTTAGAGATAATTATTAATACCGATAATAATACAAGATAATTATTAATACCGATATCTATTTATGTTCGGCAATAATTATTTTATTATTTTGAGCAATGATCGTCTAAGTGAAGTGAGGGAGAAGAGAGAATTTACTTCATTTGATAAAAAAAGATCTTTCTAGTTATTTAATTTTGTAATGGAGCCTAATTAGTTTTAATTAATAAGTAATTAATAAATCAGAAATCTGTACATCTAAATCAAATCTATTTTATCGTTTAATGTTGTTTTTCTAAGTGTCTTAGCTTTTTGGTTAAAAAGCTAAAAAGTTCGCATTCGTGAATTAAATTGTTGTCTGTGGCAGAAGCTTTTAGCTTCAAAAGAAAATCAGTTTCTTAAAAGTCTCAGTTAATACCTCTGATGACATCCACAGCTGACAACCAGATATCACTAAACTAATCTGACTACCAGATTAGTTTGCTTTAGAGAAATGTTTATTCAACAAACCATTCTTATAATTTGATTACCTGTGTGTATAATTTTAATTGTTAATTGTGGTGATGTTTTGCAAAAATGTCAATTATGAATCTAAAATTAGTAAAGAAATATAACTTTCATAAGTGTTTTGCGTATAAAAGGCACATTTATGTAGTGCAAACAGGCTGTTCATAAAAAGCGGTTAAACTCAGGTTTCGATAAATGCATTAGAGTACATGTATTGTACCGATAAATATAGTATAGTGTATTTTCTCTTCCTTATCATCTTAATAGCATTTTATTTTTTTCTGGGTTGCTTGATTTCAGGGGCAAAATTAACGTAACGCGGGGTTATTCAAAATTCCGAGGAATACTTTGAGAAATTTATGAAAATAAACAACGCATCCGATATCAAATTTTATTATACTGAAAGAGGGAACTTAACTTTCAACATGTTTCTTAGATTTCTTAACTTTCAGCATGTTTCTCAGATGTTTAGTGTGTCTCCCTTCGTTGATATGGCATACATATATTTCCAATAGTTCGTTTCGTCCATGGCCAGCATATTCCGTCCTTTTAGCTGCAACGTAGGTGTTACGAAGTTTCTGGATATTAATACACGGTTGAGACATAAAGACAGTATCCTTGATAAACTTTCCTCAAGAAAAAGTCACATAGTATTAAATCTGGAGACAGTAGTAGCCATCACATTAACGCGTCATCTGCTCGCTTTCTGCGTCCTGTCTACTATAACAGAAAATTTGGATAGGCATACTTTTGCAGATAATGTATTTCTTTGTGGAGAATTTTGATTGAGATACTCAAAAATGATCTCTCTTATAATGGTCTGGAGAACTATGTTGTTAAAAGAGTTAATGATATCTGTTTTCATTTAAATTCCGCAGATTTTCTTAATCGCCTCATATTTGAGAAACATTAATAAAAAAACCCTTAATGGGTTTACCTTTATTTCAAAGAAAAAAAGAGTGTTAGGGGTTGCTTTGTTTGTTTAGTAATTTCCCAAATTTGTCATTAATTATGAATAACCCTCTCTATTTAAAATATGAGTTCATCGATTGTTTATATTATTCGTACAATTTTCGGCCATCAGAAGGATAAGGATTTTTGTTTCAGTTTTTCATTTCATGTGTTTCAGTTTTTATATCAAAAGAATTACGTTTGGAGTTTGGCGGAGTTCGGCATCCATATTTTTTTGCATTGTTTAAGGTTCAATTATGTATCACTACTAATTATCGGGGGAAGTTAAATAACATAATTTATGTACATAAAATGTTCTGCAAGGAGATGTACTTTTAAGCTTACGAAATATGTGGAAATAAATTGAAAGATTAGACTGAATATGTGGATATTGGATGTAAACAAAATCCGAAAAGTCCGCAATAAAGGATCAACGAAAAGCAGGGTAGAATTGTATTTGATTTTTACCAATATCCGCTTTTAAAAAAATATTGCCTTCGTATTATTTTCATGAATGTAAAGAACTTATGAACTTATTCCTTTACAAATATCAAAATAAAAATTCATGCTGTATTTGAAATGCTGGAAACTTCAGATTATACCGTGTTTTCATTATATGCTTGAAATTTTAGTGACATTGCAGTTTTCTGTATTTCATATCATAAAATACATGTGTACATTTTCATGCAGTTAATAAAAGTAAACATTTTTTTTATTTACTTCTGCAGCTTGTAATTGTAACCTCCACGCTCGCAGATGTCGCTTCAATATGGAATTATACAAATTATCCGGTGGGACATCTGGCGGCGTGTGTTTAAACTGCCGACACAACACTGCCGGGAGGCATTGCCATTACTGCAAAGAAGGCTACTATAGAGATATCACCAAGCCTATTTCACACAGAAAAGCGTGCAAAGGTGAGTGCATACTTAGATATTGGAAATTATATAATTATCCGGAAAAAATGCCAAACAAAAAATTGTATTTAAGCACACTATAAAAGCTTTTCATTCTGCAAAAGCATGAGAAATCTCAGAAAATACAGTAAGATATGTTAAATTTTTAAAGTCTAGGCAAGAGATTAAATTTCTTTTCTCGCATTTATATTTTGCACAAGAAAAGTATTTTGACATTTTTCAAAACGTCTGTAGTTACACCTTTCTATTTTCTCTCAGTAATAATGTGGGTAAGATACCTAAAAGCCATACTACTAGCTGTAGTGGGTCCAGGTTCCAATCCTGAAGAAGGCTTGGATATTTGTAAATAGTTATACTGTCTCTGCGGTCTTGATGTTGTGGAAAGAGTGGTTAGGGACCCTCAGATCCGTGCTGTGGAGTGTTACGGAGCTAGGCAAAGTCGTACTAATCTCGCGCCCATGCTAATCTCACGATTCTGTCTATGATAAAATCCGTAGCCTGATGTGGCTACCAGACAAATGAGATAAATCTCGACACAGACTTCTGAATATAGGTACTTCGTTCCAGATTCAGTTCTGGCTAAAGGCTGGCTGTATTGGGCCTTTATAATTTTAACAATGTGTAACCTGAATACGAATTAATTTCGCTTAAAAATTTCATCCGTTTTAAAACAGATTCTAGTAAGGTAAGCAAGAGTTTGTCTTGCTATAATCAACTGACCAGTTGCTTATTTTTCGTGTCTCGTTATTTTGGTTACGTTATTTTATGCTACCAATATATTAATCATTTGCCGGCTTGCCAAACTGCCAATTTTAACATTTCTTACCGAACTGGCAATTTGTTATTAATATTGGAGCAGAAGATAAACTTTTCAACTTACGAAAATGCATGGATATTTTGCCAAAAGTCGAACAATTTAAAAAATGCAATTAGTTTTTTGATGAATTTTATTTTTGTATTATTTTTAATAATATGATAACTGACGTAATTTAAAATATATCTAATAAATAATCTTTATATATACCTTTACTAATAGTGAGGGTCATAAAAGTAGTTTCTAATATCATACAGCATACTCGTTCACTAAAGGGTTTAGCATCATGATTTTATTATCTGTTACGTATTTTCTGAAAAGTAATGCAGAGTGCAAAGTATGGTGCTTAAATTGTTTCCCGAATTTTCCATTTACAATTTAAGTTTACTCTTATATTAATTACTATAATTAGCAGAAGAATGGGGTTAAAAAGAAGGAATATAAATCCATATATATTATCGAATCCCGATTTAACGAATCTAGATTTAATAATATTTTTTTTTTTTTTTTTTTTTTTTTTTCAATTTAACGAATTTTTCTGTTTTCTAAGACAAAATTAATTAAAACATATTTTACCGATATGTAAGGAATTACATAAATTTTGTAATTTTTTCAATTTTTAAGAATTTTTTCCGAAAAGAGTAAACTAGTTTAATAATTCATATTAAGTTGTATTATTAGCTGTTCACCTGCTAGTCAATTCCCGGTTAGCCGCTGGTGAATTAACCAGAAATTGTCTGAAAAAAATGTTCGGTTTATTTATTGAGGAAGGATTAAAAAATTGCTGTCACATATCGTCAACATAAAATATTTACGGAAATTCAAAAATAAAAGAATGCGCGAAATAACTGACGTAGCGAGTTTCAAGAAACTGACTACCCGACGATTTCTGATTCCAACGTTTAATAGCAATCCACAGTTTCATAACTTGTTCAACAGTTCAACATAACATCTTTACTCTATTTTTACCTTATTTTTACACCTTACTCTATTTTTCTAGGATATTTTATTTATCATCAGCTTACTAAAGCAGTACAGATTTAAAAAAATTTCTAAACTTCAGCTTTTAGAATCAAAACATTATCTGTGTTGCCAATCCGAGAATGCTAACATCAAAATTAAATTATTGATACAAAAAAATAAAAATACTGGATCATATATGTAACAATAACAAAAGTGGTAGTAGGTCGTCATCATATTTGGAATTTTTTTTTTTTTTTTTAATTTTTAATTCTCAACAGAAAGAAGGTAATTTAACTGTGTATAACCAGAATTACATAAACACTGTTAAATTATCCGTTAAAAGTAAATCGCTCAATCGTAAAAAATAGATCAAGCGTACAACCATTAATCTTGTTGACTTTGTTACTATTCAGTTGACTTCTGTAGAAATGCAAGAGTAGTGCAAACGAAAACATAGTTCTTTTTGTTTTGAATACTAACTTAATTTACCTCACGAAATGAATTTATTCTGCAGATTAAACTGATTGACAGGTAAATTTATGGAGTGTGCCCTTTCTTTGGTAGCATAAACTAGTATCAATATCCTAACAGATGCTAACTGAATCAACTCTGTGTCTTGTCTCTGTCTTTTGTTTTTCTCCCTGGAGTGGGGTGGGAGGAATAAGAAGAAACAAAGTTTGATAATACAATTTTTTTAACCTTGTTAATAGCCTATATTGATTAATAGTTTTGTTGAATTGATTTACATTATTAAATACAAATCGTATACTCTAACAATTCTTGACTGCTTATCTGCATCGTTATCACTTCATTGGAAATTATCCAAATCCTGCATGAATGACGAATATTGAAACGAAACCCATCCCGACAGTCTCATTATCCGTCGTTTCCCGGAACGCTGGAAAAACCCAAATCCCAATAGAACAGGAGATCTCTGTATCTCTACTTATTAGAATAATTCTATCATTTAAAATATAGAAAGCTATTAAATAGATTCACACTGAATTACAGCCTCCGAAACGGTAAAATGGTTAGGGAGCCTACTACGGAACTGAGCGAAGTTGTACTGTCACCTGTATGATTCTCAAGGCTCTTGCCAACGACAGGTGCAATATTATACGCTCCTTGCCACGATGAATTTCGTCAGCTTGTTCTGATGTTACTATCAGACAAGTGAGATAAGTCACAACACAAAACGCTGTTAAGAGCAATCGAATGCGATCCATCGGCTATTACAAAGAACTCTGACGAAGGTACTATCAAAAGATGGAGCGCAATTTCCATTTATTATTATTAAAAACAAGGAAGTAATAGAACAAAATCATTTTTTGCAAATGGTCCCTCTTATCTAGAGACTAAACCAAATTGAAATGAAGTGTTAAATTGAATAACGTTTCCCAAGCAACTGATGTAGATGCTGTAGGGAAACAAATCTCTAAACAGTATTTTACTGCTTGAAATAAATTTTCAAGAATTCCATCATACTTTTTCTATAAAATAGGTTTCGTTTATTTGTTATACTGAAATCTTCTTATATTATATGTCATATTTGTATATCTGCTTCAAAGCCTTAAATATATAAACTTAATTTAACGCTTTTTATTAACTTGATTTCCTGGCGATTCTTTAAAATTCGGATTCAGTTTTAGTTTTCTTGAAGTACTGCACTTTATAAACACTCCAATCTAGCTCTCTCTTTAGTTAATGTACATATATTGATTTGTACTGCATATTTATAAATCTGATTTTTAGAATGGCGTTCAGTAACGAGTCAGCAATTATTTTCAGTTTCAGTTATTTTAAATTGCAGTCCTTTCTTCGTCAAGCAGTTTAAAAAAAGACTTACCGAAAAGTCTACTTACAATAAATAATAATTAAAATGCATTTAATTTCTTTAAAACAGTTATTGTAAAAATCATTTGCACTCAAAGAGCAGTTGAAATAAGTTATTTACATGTAAATTCAAAAATTATAATTTAAATACCTTTTACGTTGGGTTTGCCAATTCAAAATATTTTGACAGGCAAGGGTTAAAACGGAAATTGTTTCTAAACTGATGTGCATCGAAATTGATTGAAAAGATCAGATGTAATGGTTGATCTTATGGTTTTTCAACTCTTTTTTTCAGTAAATAAGTTTGCGTTGAAAATGGCAGTCGTGTATTAGAATTCCGAACTAAAAAAAAAAGTGTGTGTGTGTGTTATATCACTTTTTATTCAATGAGCTTGGGAGTACTAATTTATTAAAACCACACACTGACTGAGAATATGCATCGTAAGAATTGAGCTGGACACTTAATTCTTACGATGCATATTCTCAATCATAATCAATAAGGATGTGACATACACCCCATAACTTTACACACTTTAGCACATCTTTAGACAATTGATGAAATGGAACGCTAAACGATACGTATTAACAACAGCAAGCCAAAGCGAAAAAACGAGGTAAAGTGTGCGCGTATTGAGAAAAATAGAGAAAAGGCTCTTCAGTCTGATTGAATAAAAGCTCTCGCATTGCGGAATTGCATAAAAAAGCATGAAGCAGATTAAATTTAAAAGACATATGCAATTAGTAAAGTTATAATAAACAATTTCTCTTTTTACAACAGAAAGAAGAGATACAGATATAAAAATGAAGAATTACGGGTCTATTACTAATTTAAGTTATAATTTTGAGTTATATATTTTTTATCTTACACACACACAGTTATATGTTTAACGAATGAAGCTTTAAAACGGGCTAAAAACAAATTTAAAATCAAACTCTTAAGCTGCTTAAGATTTAATTCAGCAATGTTTTAAATTATTATCCCTTGAAGAGTCGATTTGAAACATTAAAATATGAATTTATAATTGTATATTAATTAAAAAATTTTATTAAAATTTTTTCAACCTTTCAATTTACATCTTATTTTGTTTCAAAATTTAAAAATTTTTCTCTTTTTTAAATTCAGTTTAAAAGAAATTTCCCGGATGGTGTAATCTCTTTCTTCTAATTTATAAATTTTATGTTTTCGTTATTATATATATACTTATTTACCTTATGTATGTATATATATGTGTGTGTGTAATAATATTGGAGAGGGTTTGTTGCGTAGATATCCGCGTAAAGTTTGGTTTGATTTGATTTGGTTTATTATGGCAAAACACACCAGAACTATCTGCTTAAAGGATGGATGCTTTCGTGGAGGACTTTCTAAAGAAAACTGGCTCGTATGCAC